CCACACCCTGTCTTTTTGGTTTTGGTACTGGGGATTGAACTCAGGTCCTTCCACTTGCGAGGCAGGTGGTGGAGCCACTGAGCTAAATTCCTGGCCCTCCCACCCTGTATTTTTGATTCATATAGTAAATATGTCTCTCTTTTCTCTTCTCTTCTCTTTTCTTTCCCTCCCTCCCTCCTTCCCTCCCTTCCTTCTTGCCTTCTTTCCCTCCTTCCTTTTATCTTTGAGACCGGATCTTGTCTTGTGGTCCAGGCTGGGCTTGAATTCACAATCTGCCTGCCTTAGCCTCCTGAGAGCTAGGATCACTTATTTTGGAGCACTAGCAACAAGGCTGTTTAGGAATAATGAGTAGCTGGGTGTGATGGTGTAGACTTGTAGTCCTAACTACTCAGAGACCTGAAGCAGGAGGATTGCAAGTTCAAGGCCATCCCTGGGCAACACAGTGAGATCTTGTTTCCAAATAAAAAACGGCTGGGGACGTAACTTGTGGTAGAGTGCTTGCTTAGCATGCGCAAGGCTCTGGGTTCAATCTCTAGCCCAGAAACAAAAAGAAAAGAAAAGATTTTTTAAAAAAGGAATAGCTGGGGATGTAGCTCAGTGGCACAGCACCTGCCTGACAAGCTCTAGGTCCTGAGTTTGATCCCTGGTATGAAAAAAAAAAGGAATAGACACAGATAAATGTTTTAAATATGTTAAATATAATTGCAAAACTATAAAGGATAGCATACTGATCATCTAATGAATACTGCAGTTCACATCCTCCCACCTTTCTGCAATAGGTACATTTTTTAATTTTTTTGGTACCAGGGACCAAACTCGGGTCCTTGCGCTTGTGCAGCAGGTGGTGAAACCACTGAGCTAAATACCAGCCAGTATATTTTTGAATTGTTAGTTTATCATTACTTTATTTTAAATTCTGGGGAATGAATCCAGGGTTTACACAGCTTTTTTTGTCCTCAGCTCTTTTTTTGTTTATTATTAATTTTTTTTTTGGTACCCGTACTGGGGATCGAACTCAGGACCTTGCACTTGCAAGGCAGGTTCGGGAACCACTGAGGTAAATCCCCGGCCCAATAAATGAAAGTTTAAAATTGTACTGTAAGTGGTACCACCCTTGCCTGATTTCCCAGAGACAGAGATAGACCATTATCTCACTAGGGGTGGACCACCCTCTCTCATCCACTAAGACTAAGATGACTAAAGGAAAGAAGGGATAAGAAAAAAAAAGAGAGAGAAAATAGGAAGAAAAAATAGAGACAAAGCCTTTGCATGTAAGGAGGGGAAGAGGGTTGAAGGGGGGTGGAAAAAAAGAAGAAAGATTTATCATGTGCAGGTACAAATTCTCTACACAGATTGCTATCATTTTGTATATCTAAAATGTACCAAGAAACGTTTTGCTAAAAATAAATAAAATTCAACCTTAAAAAGAAAAAAAAGATGAAGATGTTAAGTAAGACTACTCAGACCAAGACTAAGACTATATATAGATTAGAAAATTCCACAGATTGCCACCTCCCAAAGCACATAAAAGGCCCCAGTTCCCACTTGGGTATGCCTCACTCCTTGGAGCACCTGAGCTCCCCACTTGAGTGTGTCCTCTCTCTGTCTTAATAAATCTTTCCCACTCTTAACCTCACTGTTCCTTGGAATTCATTTTTCAGTTTTGGGGAACATGAACTCCATGCATCAGTTAGGGAGTTGGGTCTCTCCCATATGAGTGGAGTGCTTCCCTAGCATGTGTGAGGCCCTGGGTTCATGCCCCATGACTGCAAAAACAAACAAAACCACAACACAGCCTGAAACAAAACCAGAGGTGGCCAATGATGGGCTTTAGGCAGAGGATCACCTCTGGCTGTTGTGAGAGGAACAGGATGCAGAGCGCACTCAGGAGCAGTAATCCGAGCGCACATTTCAGCACCCTGGAACCGTCAAAAGGCCGTGGGAATGGAGACAAGCAGATGAGCTAGAGGGGTCAAGAAGAGAGAGAGGACAAGTTTGGTGATTGGCTGCCTAGATCCTGAGAAGGAAGATGGTGTGGTGCAGTGGGACCCTGTATCATCTAGGGTCCAATCAACAAAGCAGAACCCTGGGCAATAGGACATAAAGCATTTATTGCTGAAATCAGACCATATACGCTTTGTGGGAGTCACTGGGGAACTGAACATCTGGGAAAGAGAGTTGGAGGATCGGAGTCCCTAGTCAGTCACGCTGAGAAGCCAGAGGTCCCGCTGGACCAGAGGAGGAAGCCAGTGGGGAAGGAGGGCCTCGTGCTTGCAAGTCCACAGGGGCTGCTACTGGCCGGCAGGGCCTGTGGTCCGGAGCAACAGCTGGAGGCAGAGTAGCCGGGGCACCTGGGGGTAAACTCATTGACCGATAGGGGCCGGGGATTTAGCTCAGTGGTTCCGCCGCCTGCCTTGAAAGTGCAAGGACTGGAGTTCGATCCCCAGTACCAAAAAACCCCCCAAAAAACCTCATTGACTGATGGCAGCACTCAGATATGATGTCCCCCAAATCTCCTACGAATCCCTTCTTTGGCCAGGTCGAACTGGAACCATACCCGAAAAGGGATTCTGGGAAACAGAATCCAGCCCAGCCACACTGGTGCTGGGAGAAGACTCTGGAGGAAGAGCAGCAAGTTCTACTTCGCACATGCTGACTTTGAGTTGACGGTGGTACATCCTCCCGAAGGTAGTTAGTAGACAGTTAACCTGTGCAACTTTCTTCAACGTGCAGGCAAGCTGTGAAGGAGGAGTGTACGGCTTTGGGTCAAAGACTGAAGGACTGAAGATACTGGCCAGGAGTGAAGGGAGGCCCTTCGACAATCAAAAAGATGGGCCAGGCAGCCAGGGATTTAGCTCGGTGGTTCCACCGCCCGCCTTGCAAGCGCAAGAACCCGAGTTCAATCCCCAGTACAAAAAAAAAAAAGATAGGCCAGGCATGGTGGCCATGCCTGTCATCCCAGCTACATGGGAGATAGGAGGATCATAAGTTTGAGCCCAGCCTGGGCAATTTAGTCAGATCCTATTTGAAAATAAAATACTAAAAAAGTTCTGGGATGTAGCTCAGTAGACAAGCCCTGGGTTCAATCCTCATTACCACAAAAACAAACAAATATATAAACCATGCTACCAAGACCAAAAGCTCCCAGACAGTAGGCCGGAGTGGACTGACATTGCTGGTTGGGTAGAAGGGAGCATCCTGGAGACTTGGCCTGAGGCGCCTAGCCCTGAGTGCAAAGGCAATTGGTCTGTTTAGTAAGGATGCTTCCCTGGAATCACTATTTTTAAGGTGTCACAAATTAGCAGAAAAAATATCAGTTTCCTTGGAGTTACCCTTCTTAGAGGATTTTCATCTTCTTACACAACCAGAAGACTATGCTACTTTAGAATTTCCAAAGACAGGTTCGTCAGTACACTTTGTGACCCATTGTTTCATAGTCCTGAATCATAAAGTGAGTCGTGACCCAGGTTCCAGGTAAGGTGGCAAACATTCCACACAGGAAGTGCTGAACTCAACCAGGAAGCCCCTTCCACTCCTGCCCACCTCCACCATCTCTACACCCCAACCACCACCAGGGTGAAGGAATAGAGCAAAGGCATCCAGAGCACTGCCAATGGAACATGAATGTTGCGAGTGCTTTAAGGTATTTTAAAAAGTTTTTGTTGGATAACAAATCAAATCAATGAACAACTGTATCTACAATGTTCATTTTTTCCACTATTTCTTTGTTTGTTTGTTGTTTGTTTTGAGACAGGGTTTCACCGTGTAGTTCAGGCTGGCCTTGAACATGTATGTTCCCTAGGCTGGCCTCGAACTTGTGACAATCCTCCTGCCTCAGCCTCCTGAGGCATGTGCCACCACGCTGGCTATTTTCTCCACTTTCTTAGCAATCAAATGGAAACGTGGATTCCTGTTAGACCACGTAGATTGAACAATGACCTATTCCTTTACTTTTTATATAATAAAAGGCAGATTCCATCCCTCTCAACTGGATGGGATGGTGTATGCCTATAATCCCAGCTCTCTGGGAGGCAGAGGCAGGAGAATCCAAACTTTGAGTCCAGCTTGGGGAATTTAGGTACTTAACAAGATCCAGTCTCAAAATAAAAATAAGTGTGTATGTGTGGGGTGTTGGTGCACCTCTGTAGTCCTAGCACTCCAGAGGCTGAGGCAGGAAGTGGCCGCTAGTTCGAGGTCAGTACATAGTGAGTTCAAGGCCAGCCTGTACTACATAGTAAGACCCTACTCAAAAATCTAAAAATAAATAAAATAATTAAAAATAAAAAGGGGCTAGGGAATGTAGCAAAGTGGGAAGGCCTTGGGTTTAATCCCCAGTACAGCACTAAAAATAAATAACTAAACAAACAAACGCACTCCTCTTTGTGTTTTTAATCAACTATATTTACTTATTTATTGTAATTTGAAAAAATGTAAGTTTTAATTGTTCTGCTATATTTATATTTAATTCATTGCACATTGTATATTTTTAACCCAACAATCTGAAACCTGGAATGCTCCAAAATCCAAAACTTTTGAGCAACAACATGATGCCACAAGTGGAAAATTCCATGCCAAGAAACTTTGCTTCAAGTTGGGCATGTGGGAAGCACTGTGGGAAGCTGAGGCAGGAGGACTGCAAGTTTGAGCCCAGCCAATTTAGTAAGACCCTGCCTCAAAATAAATAATAAAAAAAGATCTGGGGATGTAGCTTAGTGGGAAAGCCCTATATTCATCATAGGACTGGGAGGGGGGTGGATTTGTTTCATGGACAGAATTATTTTGTTTAAAATTATCTTCAAGGGCTGGGGATTTAGCTTAGTGGTTCTGCCGCCTGCCTCGCAAGTGCAAGGACTGGAGTTCGATCCCAGACACCGCCCCCACGACCCAAATTATCTTCAAAGAAAAAGAAAAAAAAAAAGGAAAGAAAAATGCCTTCAGGGAGGGTGTAGTGGTGCACACCCACAGTCCCAGCACTCAGAAGGCTGAGGTAGGAGGGTTGTGGTAAGTTTGAGGCCAGCCTGGGCTACATAGTGAGACCTTGTCTCTAAAACAAACAAAACCAACCAAACACCAAACAAAAATAATGTTTGAGGGTCGGGGATTTAGCTCAGTGGTGCTGTCACTTGCCTTGCAAGTACAAGGTCCCGAGTTCGATTCCCAGTACCAGAAAAAAAAAAAGTTTGATCTTTTCATTTTCTTTCTCTTTTTTTGGTACTGGGGATGGAACTCAGGAGCTTGCGCTTGCGAGTCAGGCATGGCTCCACTGAGCTAAATCCCTGGCCCATGTTTGATCTTTTCAAAGTTAAAAATTCCTTTAACCAAAACATATTTTTGGTGAGATTTCTAACTTTCCAAATGCCCTTGGAAAGATCTAATGCCTAGAAACTGTGTATAAAATAGATTAAAAATGGCCTCATAGGGCCGGGGATTTAGCTAAGTGCTTCCACCTCCTGCCTTGCAAGCACAAGGTCCCAAGTTCCATCCCTGGTACCAAAAACAACAACAACAACAAAAAGGCCTCATGGTACTTGCCTGTTATCCCTGCACTTGAACACTGAGGCAGGAGGATCTCAAGTCTGAGGTGAGCCTGGGCTATGTAGTGAGACCCTGCCCACCCTCACACACACTAAAAAGAGCCCACATGCCGCATGTAGTACTGGATGCTTCTGATGGGACGGGCTACAGGAAGGGCGACTGACTTCCAGAAATGTAACGTCACACACCAAGCTTTTCTTTCCTGCCTCCCGCCAGCACCTCTTCATTACAGTCTTCTTAATGATTGCAAAAAGGACAAATGAAAATTCTGTTCTATGGATTTTTCCTCTTTCTCCCTTCTCCCCTCCCCCTTTCCTTCTTTCTTCCTGACTCTCATTGGGTAGCCTAGGCTGACCTTGAACTTGTGATCCTCCTGCCTCAGTCTCCCAAGTGATAGGATCACAGGTGTGTAACCACCACACTGGCTGCCAGTTTCTTTCATTATTCCACTGAGTTTTAGCATAGGATATTTATTTTCTGGTGAACCATTTCATACAGATGAAATTGATTTAAGCCAGACAAAATGGAATCTAAACGTAAAGATGCTCCTGTTTGAAATGAAATTCATAGGTTTGAAACATACCCTCATATGCCTGTGAGAAAATATTCTTATTACTATTTTTTGGGGGGTACTGGGGATCCGACTCTGGTCCTTCCACTTGTGAGGAAGGTGGCGGAAACACTGAGGTAAATCCCTGGCCCCTAAAATATTATTTTTTATCCGAGTATTTATTTAGATGTACAGCTGAGTTTGTGGATATTTCACCTAATTTCCTTCAGCACACGTAGGTTAATCACTAACTTATTGAGGACTTACTTACTATGTGCTTTGGGGAAGCCACAGACTCAGAACATTCAATTCTAGGCCTATCTGAAATTGTGAAGAGCCAAAGCAAATTGCATAGACAAGGTCCTGCTTGAGGAGATTTTCACTATATCATTCCTTAGTATGCATCTTTTATCTTGTTTGCAGAGTGTTTTGGAAATCAAGAGAATGGGATGGGAGAAAATCAACATTTGATTCAGAGGACAGTATTTCATCTGTACCTAAAAAGAAAAGGAATTTTCGAAAGAGCATCGAGGCCATCAGGACACAGTGCAGATGGTGAGGAGCAGCAGGTCTTTCCTCAAGAGGTCACCTTTCCCTGTTCCATGTGCAAGCAGGAAGTGGAAATCGCTGGTGCTTTTCTCCACAAAAAGGAACACATAGCGCTGGCTGCACTGGGACTCCAGTGGAGGGAAGGGAAGAAGCAGCCGCCCTCCAAGATTGTTGTTCAGAGACAGCTTGTGATTTCTAACCTGTTGTCATCCTTTATGCTCAATGAAAAAGTCCTACAGAACATTAATAATGCTTTTGAGCTACTGTGGAAGAAACAAATGCCAGTATACTGTAAAATTTTTGACAACATCGACAGGAGCTATGTATACCCTCAGAAACTCCATCATCTATTAATTAGAGGAGTAGCCACCTGTGAAGATAGGAATTCTACAAGGAAAGCTGCCATGAATGACAAATTCACCGTAATAAACAATTTTGGCAACAAACCCAATGTGTGCTTTTTTGGTTTGTTTGATGGTCACCTGGGTGCCTCAGCAGCAGACTTGGCATCGATGGAATTCGCAGTTTTACTCCTCCATCAGCTTTCTCAAGTTGACCCTTCTTACCTGATGACCCCGGAACAGCAGCAAGTAATCGATTCCTTTCATAGCGTCTTCAGAGAGGACTACACGGCCATAGAAGACCTCTTCTCGTCCACACAGAAAAGCACGAGCGCACACAGGTGTAATTATGAGGACATACACAAAGCCTTTGCAAAAGCCTTTTGGAGGATGGACAGACTGTTAACGCCTTGGAAGGAGAGAAGTTTCCAGGGTTCTATGGAGTGGCTGCTCTGTAGTTACCTGTATACTGGAAGGAAAAATTAAATATCCTTATGCTAATATGAATTGGAGAAAAATCAACAGCAGTGATAAATTAGCAGCGAGCTTCCTCTCCCAGAAGATGCCACAAATAATTTCTGGAATATTACACATTGCAAACACTGGTATGTATGTTCAATAACACCAAGTAACATTTTAACATTTTGATTCCAGCAGCAAAATCCCACATGCTTCCAGAATCTAGTGGTATATTATTTAATGACTTTTTCCATTGACTAATTTAAGAAACAACAAATAACCATAGTTGTTTTTTTTTTCTTGGGGGGTGGGTACTGGGGATTGAACACCAATCCTTGCGCTTTCGAGACAGGCGGCATAAACACTGTGCTAAATCCCCAGCACTATAGTTGTTTTTTTGTTTGTTGTTGTTTTTTTTTTTTTTTTTTGGTACCAGGGATCAACTTGGTCCTTGTGATTTCCAGGCAGGCATCAGAACCACTGAGCTAAATCCCCAGCCTTGTCCGTTGGTGTTTTTGAGACAGGGTCTCGCTATGTAGTTCAGGTTGGCTTTGAACTCACTATGTAGCCCAGGCTATCCCCAAACTCATGAGGATCCTCCTGCCTCAGCCTTCAGAGTACTGGGATTCCAGTTGTGCACTGCCACACCTGGCTAACCAGTTTGAATACAGATTGCAGGCATGAAACTAGTTGTAATTATTTTTCAAGAAGGCTTAGATATAAAATAATAGGAGTAATAGATTAAGGCTTAGCAGGACATAGTGGTATATGCCTATAATCCCAGCAACTTGGAAGGCTGAAGTGGCATGATCACAAATTCATGTCCTGGATGGGCATGGTGGCACATGCCTGTAATCTCAGCACTTGGGATCCTGAGGCAGGAGCCTGAGCTACATAGAGAAACTCTGTCTCAAAAAACCCAAACCAGCCAGAGATTTAGCTCAGTGGCACTGAGCTTGGCTCGCAAGCGCAAGGTCCTGAGTTCGATCCCCAGTACAAAAAAAACAAAACAAAACACAAAAAAATACCCCAAAACCCAAACCAAAAAACCAAGTTCAAGCCCTGCCTCAAGTCTTTGTCGTTTCTGTCTGTGCTGAGGTTCTAAAGGGGTTTAGAGGCCTACTTCAAGGACTGATAGTTTTCTGACCCCATATTTTTGGAATTGTGACCTCTATGAGAAAATGTCACTTGATATTATGGTTGTTATAAATTAAATGAGAAATGATGATACACTCAGTATTCAATAAATGAATGCTATCATGAAATGTCTTTTTTTTTTTTTGAGACAGTGTCTCACCATGTAGTTTAGGCCGGTCTTATGTAGCCCAGGCTGGCCTTAACCTCAATGATCCTCCTGCTTCAGCCTCCTGAGTGCTGGGATCACCACATCTGGCATCATGAAAGGTCTAGCACACCGTGATGAAGCATCACTTCTAGATGCATTCCTGACAGATGGGGAAAGCAAGCAGACCACTGAGCTCTGTGCTGGAAGTAGGTAGCAAAGGGGGCCAAGCAGTCCGCTGGATTTAATTTCAGCACTTTTAGAAAACCACATGTGGCCCGTCTGGCTTTTCATCACCGCGTGGGCCCTCCACATTCTTCACAGCTTGAGCTCATCATAGCTTAACTTCTCAGGTCTGTGACTGACCTTCCCACTTTCCATGATGGTCTCTTGGGCCATCCCGGTACCACTACCCTGTCACTGCAGTAGGGTGACCCCAGGCACCGAGTGCAGGTGTTCTGTGGCTTCTGATTGTCAGAGCAGTTCAGTCTTAAACAATTAACTCCTTCCCTAAATGGCTCCTGATTATACCTCTTCTAAATGTGGTGGATGCTGCAATGGATTTCTTCTCCAGCTTTCACCTGCGATGTGGGAGGAGTCATCTTCAGAGCAAAACTCCACATTGTATCTGCAGCTTGCAGTGACTGACTGGGCTTTTCTTCTGGCTGTTGCTGGGGGTTCGGCCCACTGTTTCTGCCTGGGGCTGCTGACCCTCTGGGTTTACCTTGTGTTTGCAGACAGGACCTCCTCCCTGGGAGCCAGGCTTAGTGTTACAGACAGCTTTGTTCTTCTGTGTTGTCTTCAGTTTCTCCCATTTACTTATGATTTCTAGTTGTCCTATCAGCTCTTTCTTGATTCCGAGATTTATTTCTTTTTGTCTCTGCTAAGTTGTTCTTTTCCGGGTGTTTCAGTTCCAGCAGCCGGAGGGGCTATATTTTGGTGCCAGCTCCAACTCCCTCATCTTCAGCCCCACAATGGAGTATCATCACTAGTTCTTTTTTAAAATTAATTTTTTATTTAGAGACAGGATCTTGCAAAGTCACAAAGTTGCCCAGGCTAGGCTTGAATTTGGAATCTTCCTGCTTCAGCCTCCAGAGTGCTGAGGTTACAGTTGTGTGCTACTGTGCCAAGTAAAAAAGACTATTCTTTGCTCATGGAATTTTCTTGTTGCTGATGCTGAAATTCAGTTAACTGCTAGGTGTGATTTTGCAGGCCATATAATCCCAGCTATTTAGGAGGCTGAAGAGAAGGGTGACAATTTTAAGCCCAGCCTGGGCAATTTAGTGAGATTCTGTCTTAAATTTAAAAAAAAAATTTTTTTTTGGTACCGGGGATCAAACTCAGGACCTTTCGCTTGCGAGGCAGGCACAGTGCCACTGAGCTACATCCCTGGACCTTTTCATATGGATTTTGAAATCAGCTTGCTAATTTTTCAAAAGTATCCAGCTAATATTCTTTTCTTTTTTGGGCAGGGATAGTATTGGGAATTGAATCTAGGGCCTCACACATACTATGTGAATGTTCTACCATTGAGCTCCACACCAAGCACTTTTTGATAAAAGCTGGCTTGCCCAGGATGGGCTCAAACTTATGATCCTCCTACCTCAGCTTCCTTCCTTTTTTTTTTTTTTTTTTGGTACCAGAGATTGAACTCCAGACCTTGCCCTTGCGAGGCAGGTGACGGAACCACTGAGCTAAATCCCGGGCCCCTGCCTCAGCTTCCTGAGTAGCTGGGATTAAGCCATGGGCCACTGTGGCCTGGCTCAATTTATCATCTTTTTTTTTTTTTTTTTTTTAGTACCGGGATCGAACTTGGGTCCTTGAACTTGCAAGGCAGGCGGCAGAACCACTGAGCTAAATCCTGGCCCTCAGTTTATCATCTTAACATTAAGTCTTCCAATTAATAGGTGCTTTTATATTTGTCCAGGTTTTAATTTGTTTCAGTGATGTTTTGTGGTTATCAGCATATAAGTCTTTGGTATTATTTGGATCTCAAATGCTCCCTACCAAGGCCCATGTATTGGATTGCTCTCTGGAGTAGTGCTATTGGGAAGCTGGGGACCTCTAAGAGCTGCCTGATGGTCACTGGAAGTGTGGCCTCAAAAATGGTGAGACCACAGCCATTTCCTCCTCTGTCTTTCACTTCCTGGCAATGAGGTGAGTGATTTTGCTTTGTTGTGCTTTTTTTGTTTTGTTTTGTTTTGTGAGGCAGGCTCTCCCTTTGTAGTTTAGGGGGGCCCTGAACTCACTATGTAGCCCAGGCTGGCCTCGAACTCACAGCAATCCTCCTGCCTCAGCCTCCTGAGTGCTGAGACACAGGCGTGCGACACCATGCCCCGCTGTGTTGTGCTCTTCTGTGTGAAGGACCATCCCAGGTTCAGAGCAATGGTGCCATCTGTTTATGGACCAAAGCCTCTAAAACTGTGAGCCAAAATATACCTCTTCTTGATGTTGATTATCCTGGATGTTTGTTACAGTAAAAAGAAGCTAATACAGTCATAGAGTTCTTTTTCCTCCCTCTCTCTCTTTCAGATGTGTGTTTAGAGACAGGGTCTCACTTTGAAATCCAGGATGGGCTTGAACTGGCCCAGGATGCTCTCAAAAACTCCCAATCGTTTTACACCTTCTGGAGTACTTGGGTTATAGGCCTACACAACCCTTCCCTGCTTAGTCTTGCATTTCTTTTACTAAACATTTTAAAGCATGTTATTCCTTTAGATGTGATTGTCTTTTTTTTTGGAGATAGGGTCTTGCTTTATAATTCAGGCTGGCTTGAACTCAGGCTGGCTCGAACTCATGGTGATCCTCCTGTCTCAGCCTCCCAAGTGCTGGGATTACAGGCATGAGACACCATGCCTAACTAGATGTGATTTTATTTGCTTAATTATTTTGAGGTACTGGAGCTCAAACACAGGACCCTGTACACGCTAGACAAGCATTCTATCACTGAACTACATGCTTAATGCTTTAGTGCTATTTTATTTTTTTATTATTTATTTATTTATTTTTGATGTCCAGTGATAGTTTTTTTTATATTTAAAAACAAAACCAACCTCCCCCCCCAATGCCCCCCAAACAAACAAACAAAAAAACCAGATTAAATAAAATTTACAGTGACTATACCCAGCAAACATCTGTATGTGCAATTAAATACAGTGTCTGTTACTGCGGCACGAACCTTAAACAAACAATATACAAGTGTTCTGGGAACGGGGGGAATCCCAAGTTTTAACTGTGGGGTATGAAGAGACAAGATGGGGAAAGTGAGAGAATGGGGAAATCAATTTTTTTCTTAATTCTGTCCATATAAATATATTCATAAAGACTAAAAAAGGAAAGGGAGCTTAGGGCGGTGAGGAAATAGAAGAGGGGAGCATGGGACCCTCCCAATTCGACCTGACCAAAAATTATAAGAGAAATTAATGTCATGGGGGAAGAAAAGATAAAAAATGGCAGAAGAGAATGGGAAGGAGAGGGAAGCAGAGGGGGGCCAACCAGGGAGGAATAGGGTACCCAAGGCAGGGGAGCGTGGAAGGAGTCCAGTGCCAATGAGAGTCTGCTTCTTCATCCCTAATGTCTTAGGCTTTAGTTGTGTCCATCTCCTCACTTCCCACCTCTGTCCTACCTCAGCCCTCTCCACCTGCCCTCCCCAACCAGTCCCTTCTCCTCATCTATTTTATTGGGATCTGGCTCACTCCAGGATCCTCAGGTCATAGTTCTTTTTGGCCACTCGAAGTTTGAAGCGACTCACAGAGTTGTTGACGCGAAGGGAGGCATTTTGGGCAGCCAGAGGGCTGGGGAACACAGTGCAGATGGTGTACAAGGCAGCGAGGTCCGAGTGGCGGCCATTCTCAGCAGTCCCACTGTTGTCCCCACCACCCCTGCCTGGCAGCCCCTGAGCATCTTTGAGCCACTGGATCTTGGCACGGGACATGGAGAGCTGAGTGAAGAGTTTGTCCGCCTCAGTACGAGTGATGCCCTCAGGGAGATCTGTCACCTCCAGCACCTGCCCCAGGACAACATCTGCTGTCCCCAGGTCAGTAGAGGCAGACTTGAGTGCTTGTCTCTTGCCCTGGTTTCCATGTTTTAATCCACTCTGTCCCTGATGCACCGTGTATGTCGACTGGCCGTGGAGCAAGGGAGGGCAGATGGACAGATTGTACTGTAATGGCTGGCCCAAGAGGGAGTAGCGCCCATCACCCTGTGCTGAATCCCCAGGCCGGGGGAACTGTGTGAGAACAGGCAGGGGACTGAGTCCTGTGCAGACGTTGCTGAGGCTGGTGACAGGAGAGGGTGCTGGAGACTGAGTAGGAGATGTGACAGGGCTGCTGCTCATTTGTGTGTTGGCCTGGGGGTTATTGTCAGGACTGTACAGGTCTCCAGGCTTCTGACCTGGCTGGTCCATGCTATAATATTTACAATGATTCCACTGGACCCTGGATGTGTTCTGGGGAGGTTGGGGTCCATTAGGGACATTCAGCTGCATGACCACCACACCTTGTCCAGAAGGTGACACTCCTGAGTAGTGCTGTGGCATCTGTGGTGGACTGCAGGGAGAAGGAGACTGAGGCATCTGGTACTGCTCAGAGCCAGGGGGCTGCAGAAATCCCAGAAGGGCTTGTACCATTCTGCTGAGTGGGTGGGATCATGCTGTAGTACACGGGCACACCTGCCGCGGGGAGGCCTCCTTGCACAGACTGACTCACAGGGACCAGCATGGGTTGCTGGAAAGGTGACTGGAACACATTTTGTGAGTCACTGCCACTAGGACTTGGTAAGAAGCCAGTGGAGTGTACTGAACCACCAGGCCTTGGATCTGGCTACCCATATTGTTCCTCTGGTTGCTGACCAGGCCCTGGTTCTGGGGCTGCTGGACCCCAATCGTGCCTTGGTAAGCTGCTTGCTGCTGAGTAGGCATCATGGGCTGTAAACCAGGCTGCTGGGATGGCTGAGGCAGCTGCTGACCACGCTGGGGGCTATACGCCACCGGGTGAGAGAGAGGTCGATACTGCTGGTTGGAGTTTGGATTACTGTCCAGGAGGATAGTAAGAAACCTGTATCTGTTGGGGCTGCATGTAGCCCTGGGGTGGCAGGACTTGCTGAGTAGGTGGTGGATGGCTAGAGGTGGCATAGTTGGAAGTGGGGAGGGGCTGTCCCAGGGAAGCCATGATGAAGCTAGTCTGCTGAGGGTGCTGGGAGATAAGTGGGGGCTGGAACAGAGCTGAGGATGGGTCAGCTGCTTCAGTAGAACCTTGGCGGCTAAGGCTCATCTGTCCAAAGGGGTTGTTGAGATCATCTGTCTGTGACACCATGTGATTATCCAAGGGTGGGTGTTGCTGAGGTGTGGGTGGGAGAGCAGGAAGTTGCTGCTGCTGCTGCTGCTGTTGTTGTTGCTGGGCAGTACAAGGGAGAAGGCCCTGGACAGACTGGGGTGAGGTGACCTGGTTGCACACTTCTGGGGCACCTAGTGCCATACCTGGCCTGGAGAGCCGTCCTGCACTGCCACCTTTACTGCTGCCAATGCTGTCACCTCGGGTGAAGACAGAGATTCCGCTGAAGCTGCTGGCTTTGGTGACAGGGGGTTGCATGCTCCGGACAGAGCCATCCGAGTCTGTACTGCTCCAAGGCCAGGGCTCCAAGGGTTTGAGTTCGCTGTCTGTGCTGCTCTGGAGGCTGCTTGAGGTGCAGTTCAGCCCTTCTCGGTGCCCCCTGATGTCATTTAGATATCCGTTCTGGCCAGTCTCTTGGGCAAATATTCTCTCTCGGACCCTTTGATATTCCTCTCTCTCTTCTATTGACTTGCTTCTCCTTCCATCCTGCAATGGAACTCTGATTTGATTATCATCTCCGTCCATACTGGCATCATCTCTCTTGAGAATGAATCTCTGTTGGAATTCTGTATTCTTCTCATCCTTTATATGTTCTGAGAATCTCTGTTCAGGGATTCTTGTGTTGCTGGTCTTGTTGATGATGACAGCTTTCCCAGTTTGATCAACATTGTGGTCCATCCCAAAATAGGCAGCTACCCGGTGTAATAGCATCTGGTGATATGAGGTCATCTGAGGAAACTTCTTGAACTGGTTATTGTTGCCATTAATAAATTCCAGAATCTCCTGTTCTAATTTTAGCAGCATCATTCTGTCCCTTGGGTTCTTTTTCAGTGTATTTACAAGAAATTCATGTAGCTCTATTCCAGTGGAGTCTGTATATTCTTGGCTGGAGTCTCTGGATAGCATCTTCCTTGGGGCCTTATCTTTACTTTTGTCCTTGTCTTCTTTTTCAGAGACATCTTTTATGGATTTCTCTTCCTCTTTGTCAGAGGGTCAGCTGATGTGCAACTGAATTATATCCTGGGCTTCTAGTGGCCCATCAGCAAACGGAGTAGAGGACTCCTCACATACTGCCAGACTGCGTACTAATTTCAGCTTGGAATTAGATTTGGCTCTTTTCCTGGCATGACCATGGTTGGATGCCCGCCTCTGTGTCTCCTGACACACACTGGTCCTTTCACCTTCTTTCTCAACTTCTTCCTTACTTGAAGTCTTAGATATAAACTTGTTTTTGTTTACAGATTCTTCCACCAGTTTTTTTTCCCGATTCTTTCATTATTTCAAGGGTCTCTTGAGTAGTGTTACTGTTAGACATGTTCTTCAGTAGAACAGAGTAGCCTCTATGGACTCCTGATCTCTAGCCGAGATGTATTGCCTTATCCATCCAGATGAAGGATTAACTGTATTTATCAAGTATGACTTGGATACTTCAGGAAGGATAGTGAATAGCCTCTAGCAATTCACCTCACGCGGCCTCTCCGCCGGCTGGCCGCCCAGGGCCCACGGGCTGCTGCAGCTCGACTGACGCCCAGCGGCGGCGCGCTTCTGGGGGCGGGCTCTTCTCTGCGGGGGTTTCTCGGGGCCCAGGGCTGGGGAGTAGGGGGACCTGGGCGGGGGAGAGAGGAAAGGGGCCTGGGAAGGAGAGGGGAAGAGGGGAAAAAGGGGGGGAACCAAACCCGGAAAGGGAGAAAAGGGGGGAGGGGGAAAATCAGAAGGGAAAGAAAGGCCTACAGTCCGCCCCCCACTGCGGCCTTCCGCCATAGTGCTATTTTAAATGGAATTATTTTCTTAATTTTATTTTTTGATTTTTACTACAAGCATACAGAAATAGAATTGATTTTTGTATATTGACCTTGTATCCTACAGCCTTGTTGATCTTGTTTACCAGCTCTAGTAGTTTCTTGTTTGGGGTTTGCCCTTTTTCAAAAAAAATTTATATATTAATTGGTACATTTTAGGTATACAATACATTTACATTTATCATTGGGTGTTTGTACCTGTACATGATGTATCTTAGTTCTTATTTTTTTCCCCATTACCTGTGCGCCCTTCACCCCTACCACCCTT